GAAATCAACGTCGGTAGGTCGAGAGCTCGCGGATCTAGATGAAAGATTTTGATAACGGAAATTCGTGATGCAAAGGTCCGCTGTATGGAACCCCCAGCATCGTTTCTGGGATCGTAATCGAATTGTTATCGCTTCGTTTCACCGCGTGCAGTAATTATTTTTAATTTAACCCCGCTACGAATATCGAACAGATGCCCTCTTGACTTCATTCCGTCTCTCTTCTTTTTTCCGTCATGCGCCGATGATTTCGTTTCGAATCATCCTATTGATTGTCGCTCGATGACCATCACGATAATTGCTTCGTTTTACTTTTTTCCATTTATGAAATTCTTAACCCTTTAGTTATGGGAGTCTGTATGGGTAGATATTAAATTCTAAAATAAAATAATTCTATTTATAGGAAGGTGTTTATTGTATATTAAATCATGTGTAATTTGAAAGAAAAATTCACACTGGTGTTTATTAAAATTTTATTCTTTCGCTTCCATAAATTTCTAATTATGATTACTCATAATTTAATATTAATTTAACAAATTCTGACCAGAAGGTATAAATTTCCAAAGCGAATCGCGGTCCTCCGTAATTGTAATGGCATCGATTGAAATTATTGGATTAATTCAAAACGAGATGCGAGTTATTCAACTTCCCAGACGGGGTATCTTTAGGAACGGGTGACTCCTCTCCAGACTTTATTTCATTTTCCTTTTTTTTCTCTCTCTCTCTCTCTCTCTCTCAAGTCTCGCGAACTTCTTTCATTACCCGTGATCCGTCCGCATCTAATTCGTATTTCATAGCTGGTCGTATAATTTTCTACGATGCTCTTTTTAATAAATGCGAACGACGAGCCTTTTACGGTAATGCTACGGAGTAAAGGATACCAATTTTTACGATGCACCATCCGGCACGAAGGTAACGTGGCCTAGGCAAAAGGGAACCGGCCCGACCTCGTTATCGTCACGAAAATTCTTCTCAATTTCCGGCGGAGGAAATCGAACGGTCAGACGTGGAAGCAATCTTGCTAACTGAATTCCATCTGTCGATGGACAAAAGCTATCGCGTACCCTGTCGGTATTTCGATGCTCCTGTTTCGACATGTTTCTAGGTCAGTTGACTCGAAAACTAGTTCGCGTTCTGGGTCGGGTCCACCGTTTGTCTAAGTTTCGAATGCTAGGCTACGATATCGTTGAAAGTCAAACTCGAATGAACTTCTCTCACACGAAGGCGCGGGGGCGTAGCCGAAGTTTTAACCGGTGTGTACCATCTGTGATATGAGAATTGGTTACCGGTGCCAGAGGACAACGCCGTGACAACGAGAAAGTTACGGACGACTGAACGGAGATAATTGTTGTTTGCTAAATTCCAGCCTGATATCTTTGTAACGGAACTTCTACACCCTCTACTCCACGTTATGATTCCATTAATTGAGCCCCCGTGGACGGGGGTAAACAGTAGAAGGACGCTTATTGATTTATTTCATCCTCTTCGTCCGTGTCTGCTCTTCTTTAAAAGGTTTTGCTTTCAATAAGGAAAGCTTACCGGTAATTCTTTTCTGATTTTAGAGAAATTCAAAAATAATATTTCTCTTTATCAGCTACTGGATTCCTTTTTCTTTTTGATGAATTTTATTTTTCTGAAAGTCGGACTTGAAGAGAGGATTCCATATGGCTCGTGTCAAGATACAACGCGAACTATCCTTTTGTCCTTGGAGTTCCTTTGTACCGATACTTCGGTACCTGGATACTTGCGTAGCAAGGACCGAACCAGGAGAATTCCGCGTCTCGGAATTATATGGCGAAACGGCAACGGCGAGTTGTTCTCAGGGCTGTAATACCTTTTACCATACTGTCTGTCAGCCTGGAGATTGCTCTTTACGTTAGAAAGATACTGCACGCACTGTTCCTCGTAATCCGTGACGCCTGTTGCAGCTAAATGAAACGCGTTTAATCCAACGACATCCACAAGAACACGTTGTTACGTGAAGCTTACTATTGTTTTCGTCGTTCTTCGTTCTCTTATTCAGGAATTTTTCAACCATCTCATACAAAATTTTAATTTTTAATCGATTATGGTTATAGATGTTCGTAGAGTAGAGGAGATTTTATTTGGAAATTTGTAAAATTTGTTTTGGAAAATGAATTTTAATTCTTTCAAATAGATTATAACAGAATTCTTCAAAGACAATTCGTGTCGTTTGAACTAGAATCGAAAGTTATAGACCGATTGAACTCTGATCATGTGCATACAAATCGCGAAGAGTATCTCCAAGCCTCGATAATAAATCGATTCGATCCACTTAAGAGTGATGGGCGTGATTAATGCTGGCTAGCACTTATCGTGAAAGCGTAGAACAGTTTTCATCATCATTATACGCGTTGCTATCTTTTTTTTTCCTTTCTTACGTCGATGCCGTTCGAACGTGCTCTAATTTCGTATCCCCTTTCGCTACCGCGAAACATTCAAATGTATTCTCGATTTAACACGATTATTCGTTTCACCTGTTTTTTGTCTGGCGAGCAATTTCAATAGTAACACGTGGCTACCGGTATCACGCGTTTGATACGTTTCTTAATCGAAAACGTGTTACGACATTTATAATATGTTTTTACGTGTGTGCGTGGTTTTCACGTAAGAGGATTTTGAACGGGTGATCAAAGAAGCCTTTTTATGGAAAACCGGTTGGAAAACAAGGAAAGTATACCGGTGCGCATTTTATACAAAGCCACTCCGTTATTACAGCGGTGTCGATGGAGAGTACCCGTCTGTTTTATTTGCAAGTACAGCCCTGGTTCTCCTTGCCAGCAGCCTTGCCCGAACCGGCCAACGACCGTATCTCTCTTACCTATCCTGTAGCGACCCGTCTCTTTCTCTGTCTCTTTTACGCTCCTTTCTCTTTCGTCGGCCAACCTCCGCTCTTCCACCAGGTCCCTTTGATCCGTTGTACAGGTAGGCTCACGTGAAACGCGTATAAAGCTCCTTGGACACTTTAAACGAGCCTTTTTGGCGCGCCACTGTGTTCACTAGGGGACATTTTTGCACCTTTCCTCGCGAATGGGACCATGCCCGTTTCGAGTAGCTTTCTCATATTCCTCGTGCGCAATTACACCGTGTATTCCTCGCTCTTTCGAAGGAATTTTGTTTTTATTCCTTCCACATTGCAATTTCATGATTGCTTCTTTCTATATTTTTTAGAGAAGCCTAAATAGGCTCTTCCTAGGTTCTATCTAGGTTTTCATTAAACTTTTCTTAAACTTTCTCTAGGCTTCCCCTAAGCTTTCCCTAGGTTCTCCTTAAATTCTCTCAAGATCCAAAGTAAATTAAGTTATTTTAGTGTGGAATATTAATTGACTTTCTCGACACTCTAATAATTAAAGCTTGGAAACTGAAAGTAAATGACAGTTGTAAGGACTGGTGCAATATGGAAGATATTTGTGTACAGATGTTTTGAAGTAAGAAGGGATATACTGGTATATCAGAATATTGATGTATGGTAAATCAAAGAGCGAACTAGCTGGTCCAGCTTTCATTCAGCCGGTGAATGTAGGCGGCGCACGCCTATCCTATCTTATCAGACGCAACGACCGAAACGGATGTTACGATAATGGTACACTTGGAGTATGCTCGTAGCAGCACGGGGACGATCGTTGGTATTAAAAAACGAAAATACTTGACGATAAACGAGCGAGAGAGGAAACGCGAAATTACACGATTCACCATCGATTATCGCCTTAATCGCAAACAACAACTATACTTTAGACATGCACCAGGTTGTTTAAATCTTATTTATTTGAACTTTTAGCGTAGATAAATAAAATTGCTACTCCTAGTGTTTCGTAATGATCACGGTATACCTTGTTCGCGTGCCCAATAAATGCAATTCATTTTGCGCGGTCAATTACCCAGATAATTCAACGGTATTCATATCGAGAGGGTAATTAATGGTTCCGATATGTAAAAGAGGGTTGCGTTCGATCGTGAAATAAATCGATTGGCAGTTGTTACTAAAATTCGGATTCAAATTTCAATTTCAAATACGTGGACTATATCCCCTCCCCTTATTGCGCCACCGATTTTAACTATTCGAAGTGGTACAACCCTAGTGAGTTCTCTGACCGGTGAAAGAAGGAAGAGAGAGCGAGACAAGCGTAGGAAGGAAAGCTCGACGAAAAGCGATATTCCTTCTCTTCACGCGCGAGCGAGCCGACAAAGTTGCTCGATGTCCAGCGGAGGGCTGCCTTCGTATACGCTTCTTCGTGTTGAAGGATGTATCGCATTACACGTCCGTATCGCGTAACACCTCGATCTACAAAGGAGAACAACTCGCGGACTGGAACGAGTCGCTCCGTTTTCTACAGCTCGTTGTATGCCCGATCTCTCGACGAGGCTGGATCAGGATGTATCGACTCGCGCTTCTCCGGTGGCGCGCGTTTACCTGTATCCTCGCTGACTTGAAACGAGAATGGGAGAGCGCGGGCGGATCACTGCCTACGGTATGCATACCGTCGAAGCCTCCGAGCTTTCTCTCGCGAACGAATGAAAAATACGTGAGAACGAGCGTCGCGTCGAGAGGAAATCGCAATTACTTGCTCTCGCTTTCGGTGAAACTCGTCACGCTGCATCGGTACACTGCTTACGAAATTATTTCGTTTCTTCTTCAGGTTCATTGCTATCTGTGATAAAGAAAAGAGAGATGGGTGGGGGGGTCGGGAAAGGAGAAAAGGTACGATCGCGTTCTAGTTTCTCCGTTGCATCGGACCTATGGCAAATCTCACGATCACCCAACGAAAGAAAAAAGATAACGGCAATAGCCTTCGTGCCAGACAGTATAGTGTTTCGCGACTTCGTGGTCACGCGACACCCCTCTGAACCACGAAGGCAGCGTGGTGTCGGATAAGCGTTCGACTGGCGCATGCTTGATCGGACGTGTTCGTACAAGTCCGTGCCACGTCGTGTAGGTTCGTGCTTTCTCGGTGTTACTCGGCCGTTCTCGAGTCGACCGGATGGCTCTCTCCAGCGCGCTGAATCACAGTCTGGGTCAGTTCGCCGAATGATCGTCGCTCCAAAAGGGAGGACGCGTGCGCGTGTCGTGTTCTGTGATCACATGAGTGGAGAGCTGTTCGATACGATTTTGTGACTAGGAAGATCAGTGTGTTGAAAATAGTGTTGGTGATACGAGGGGAAAAATACAATTCCGAATTGCGGTCAGAGAGGATAATGTTCAAGCGCATCGCCGTGAAGGCTGTCGAGGTTGCACGGAGCGAGACGAAGCTCATCGAGGAGAGTAGGAACGCGTGACAGGTAAAACATAACCTCAATTTCACGGAGTGAAAAAGGAACGAGGGCGAGTTTTCGACGCGATACCACTGCTCCTTTGTTCGTGACGCTTTTCCTTGGAAATTTCTCTTTCTCCACTATCTCATAGCAGTTATACGAGCACATTTGATAAACTCGTTCTCTCGGGCGGCGTAAACGAGCCATGCAACGATACGTTACTCTGAGCGATTTAAAAACGGTGCTGCACGAAATTACATACTTTCGATTACACGCGTGACTCGTTTTACGGCTGGCAAGGGAGAAACCTTCCGAACTCATTCGATTATCATCTGTGCTCTGAAAAAGAAACATTCGGAATAAGCATCGATATTTTATTTAATTTTCGAATGATAAAACTTCACGTGACCTTCTCGGACAGCGTTCTATCCTTGTCGTGAAGTGGCGCTTCCGTTTGCTCCGGCAACAAGAATGTTCAAGCGTATTATCATTGTGCGTGAGTGTATTTCTCGTTTGTCCACCACGCCTTGAAATCTCTTCAGCTTTTGATTTCGCGCAGCGAATGGAAATTTATGATGATCCAACGAAATACTTCTTATATTATTCAGCAGATTTCTAGACGCTGATGGATTACGATTTTTTTTTCTTCAATGTCAATTATCGAGATCGTTTCGGTATGAGTAATTACAAAACCAGCTTTGTGGTAATTATTACCCTCCTCATGCTTTGATAATGTGTTCTCATTTCTTTCTTTAATTATTTATTTTATTTCTTAAAATTAAAATTACCAGAGTGCTCAGGATGGCAGGTTTCAAATTTTTTATTTTAAATTAAAAATAGAATTCATTAGTTTTTTTAAATTATCAATCGAATATAACTATTTATTCATTTTGTTATTCTATTTTTAATTTAAAATTCAGTGAACTTATATTGAACGTCGGTGATTCCGTTGTTAATTTGCTAGGTCAGCGTGAATAAACATAAGATAATTCCGAGAAGTGTTTACGTGTAGGTGCCCTCTGTCCTGGGAATTTCAAGCTTTGTTATCTGTGCTCGCGTCAAATTACTCCGATTAGTCGTATATTCGAAAAATTATATAAAATTCCCATCTTCCTTCGCTTTTCGTGAAAAACGCAGTCGTTTGTAAATACAGGAATTACAATGATAATCCGTGGACAACGATCGATGTGTTAGTCGTTTCTCTCGTGTCGCCTTCTCAGACGTTATAGTCGCGTTCCACGGTGAACCCGTCTATCAGAGAGCTTAAGAAATTAGCATAAATATTCGTACTTTGCCGCACACATTTATTATACTCGTGCCGGTGTGTGTTTCACGCTTGTGCAAATTGAAAAGAGATAATAGGCTCGATATAATGCCATAAATACATTTATCTGGATTTATATCGCCACTTAAATGCAAAGGCGAAGTTGGAAATAACTCTTCGATTAACGTGTTTCATATTTCTGGAGATTGTATAACACTATTTCTGGAATTAATTAGTTTAGTCTTATGACGTCATCGTGGATTGATATTAAATTCTTAGAAGTTTCTCAAGCATATTCCTCGAAATTTATTATAATTTATGAAGTCTATGTAGAATAAATAATAACTTTCTACTATTTTAAATTGAAATTAGTTAGTCAGTTCAATGCATCATAAAAAATTGTCTTATCTTACATTCGTAGTATAAGATCATTTATGATAACAGCAATTTCAAATTACCAGAGAAATAGCAAGAAGTTTTAGAAAGAGCAAGATGACTATGTTCAGAGTTAAAATCAACAAATTTTATTTTTATCTTTGAAAATAGCACGAACTTTCTAAGCGGTCTAATGGATCAAGATTTTTTGAAACTATGAGAAATTGTTGCTTTGCTAGTTTCTGCTAAAGAATGTCGAAAATGTCTTAAGTAAATATTGACCGAAGAGTCGCTAATGCTCGGGTAATAAAATGAACCTTGTAAGCCAGTTAGAACACGGTCCTCAAACACCATCCTCACGGTTAAAATATCCTAGGTATCATTATCCGTGTGTGTAATCTTAAACGGCGATGAATTATCGAGCGGCTACTGTAGCTCCCCAAATAATCAATGAAACCATACCAGACGGCGCTTTTAGGCGCCTATGAGATAGAAGCACAGAAAAAATACGCTCGTCAATGAATGTATATCTGTATCGCGTAAACGAATGAAGTGCGAGAAAAAAACTCACACACCACGGTTCTTCCTCGGAGCGCCGAGCAGTCATGTAACCTGAGACGACCATAAACTGGACAAACTGGTTAGTTGCCAATACTTTTGCCATCAACCCCGTGTTTAACTCGATATCTTAAGAGTTCATCCGTACAGCCGGCTTGAAATCTTATGACAACATATGTATCGAACGAAGAGCCGAAAGTATGAATGGGCTAATCAATTTGCAGACACAATCGCGACATATTCCTGGTAACATCGTGTTCGTATAAAGTTTCAATCGCAAAGCGAACGATACGTTGGCCGCAAAACGTTCGTGAATAGAGAAATATCGTTCTATTTGCCTGGATAATCGAACTCCAGTCGCGAATCCTATCGAAGGTGGAATTGATAGAGACGACAAAAGCACGGTATTTCCTGCTACGCGGAGAAACTCTGTTGCAAACGAGAATGTCGGGATGCAACGAATTAACCTTTTTTGCAATTGAACGTTCATTCTGAATTGGACAGTGTTTTTATGCGGAGTTATTTCACGTTTCAATGAACATTTCTTGGATTTTTGTTTGATAACGGTATGAGGTTTTATGGTCTCTGAAGTGGAGATTGTTATATCAGGAGACAGGTGTAGAGTTAAATAGATTTTGCTAATAGAGAATGTTATAAATAAGATTGTAAGTAAGGTGTGGTTAATTTCTCTTTTTAATCTTTCATTGCTTTATGTTACATAAGATAATTTTATAAATTTTGAAGATGAGGAAACATTTTCTATTTTCTTTTTTTCAAAGTTAAAAAGGAAATTATGCAACGAAGCATTTTTAGATTAATGCTAATTCATAATTTGTTTTGTGATTCAGGATTGTTTAGAATATTTTCTTGATTCGTAACGTTTTAATTATGATTCATTTTCAGTAAAATTCGCGACGTTTACTGCACGAGCAAATATCACCGAGACACGTGCACGGTACACGGTACACAGTTGAATGAATCTTGTGCAAACAGCCACGTGGATGATCATTGTGCGAATGATTCAGTGACTAGCCATTCGTGCAAGGTCCCAGTTCATTTCTTCCACGATATGCGTTTGCGTGCACGCCTCGAACATTGCTGACTTTTGATTTTCGTTGTCTCCTTTTCATTCGCTGTACTGCGTTCTTATCGTCCTCAACCGTGCAAGTTTTCTTATCGAACAAATTCGTGGAAAATAGAATCATACGCAAGAATATAATAATTCTAAATTTAAATGTATCAATTTTAAACGAATTTCATATATTTGAAGAATAATTTTTAAAGGAAAATTAAAATAAAATTGGAATTCTCTACATGGTCCGCCGTCCAAGGGTTAATATCTCAATTCTGTACGCGTGATATATACATACGTGATTCCATGCGAATTTACGCAATTCTACAATTATTGTTGCCGGTGAATAACAAGGAAGAAGTAAGCGTCGAGTTATTTATTTCCTCGTTTCTCTTTGCAATCGGTTTTCCGATAAGCCGCTCTTTATTTCGTATAATTTACAGTAATTTGAATACAAAACGTTAATCCATTTTTAATGGAGTGTGTCCTTAATAGCTGGTCGGGATTTTAATAGTTGCGTTAATTGTCCTACTATTTTAGTTGAACCACCGACCAACGTTTACTCGAATAAACTGACCGTCATTATTTCAAGCATTGCCCGGCCTCCTCTATAAATTACCGTCACTCCTTTTTTTTCTACTTTAAGTTCCCCGTTTCGCTCCATCGAATTTCGATATTAACGAGCCACGGGCACGATTTAATCGCTCCCTAAAGGTAATGATAACGAGTGTCGCGGACGTTAAGAAAAAGCGAACGTTTCGTCGTTTAGATCTGCGAGCATTGCTTATCAATTCCTTCGGTATTTGATTCGTGTATTTTTTTCCTTTCAAAGATACCTGTGTATGAATACATATCACGAGAATGGCATTCCAAAACAACGAGAATGGTATACGAACGATCAGTCGATGTTTTCCATGCTAAGATCGATCGATGGATGCGACAACTATCTATTAATAGACGATTGATGATGATCGTGAAATTCCAACAAACTTTCAGTTGCGTTAATTCTCCATAAGTATCCGGACACTTAGTAAATTTCAAGCGATAATACGTAAATTACATTGAATCGTGGACGTTTCTCAATGAAATCCATTTTCTCTTTCTTCTTATGGAGTTGGCGATTTGCCAGAAGTTTATTGAATGCATTAAATTCCTTGATTCCTTTATGTATCCGCAAAGTTTAGATATCACTGATTCGACTAATGATAGTAGACTGTCTATTTATTTTTTTTTTATCATTTTCGTTGTAATTTTATTTTAACACTCTTCTGCATTGCTAATTTTTAAAATAATTTTTATACAAAAATTTCACAGCAGGTGTACAGAGTTTCCCAGACTTTTCCTCATATTATGCGAACATATTCCACGTTAGCTATAAAAGGTTTCAAGTATACAAACCGTCTTTGTTTCGCCCGGTACGTAGAAAAGCATACCGATAGGCTTTCCTGCGATGGCGTGTGGTTTCTTCCTCGAACCTTACCCTTTTCGAGGGCCGTTTTCAACGGAACAGAGACGTTTTCTCCTTTGTCCCGTTCGCGATTGACGCGCAGGTTGCGCCGGGAACGCGTCAAGTCGAATGGAAGTGCGAAGTCAAATTAGCTTTTGTCGAGGGCGAGGAACGTTCTTACAGCCTGGTCCCTTTACCGACCATGGGATCTTTTTCCTGTCATTACGGTACTCTTTGTCTTTCTTCGTGGAACTCGTTTCGGACCTCCGATCCTCTTTCAACTCGCAGGTATGTTGCCTCGAAACGATCGC